CATGCATGCCTTGCTCCCTGTTAACAGAAACTGCATGGACGGTGCGTTCATGCAGCAGTCTATGCTGTGTAATTCCGGTATATTCATTTTGACATTGCTCTTGATAAACCAGCATCAATGGTTTCATCACCAAATGTAGATCATACTTAGACGTGGGCCCTACCTGTCATGCATTCACATGAAAAGAGAAAGCCATGCCAGTGTAAACCAGAAACAAGGCTTTACGGGACATCACTCACTCACTCACTGCAGAAGTATGTGATTTACTGCACAGGACATCACTCACTCACTGCAGAAGTATGTGATTTTGTGATATGGAATCAGGAAAGCATCCTGTACTTGTCACATTCCAGGTTACTGCTTTTACAAAAATAGCCTGTAGTGCATGCCATATTTCAATCCAAATTTGATGTAGATGCTTTGAACACACAAGGTTAACATAAGCAGGTACATTTCTATAAGCAAAAAATAGTCCCATAATAGAGCAAAGATCTCGAACACCCATTTGTATTTTCCATCTTGGCGTATTGGTTTCTGATTTATGTTATTTTTGTTGCTAAGTTTAAACAGGAATAGGAAAACACCTAAATGTCTCCAGTGTATTTTTGGACATCTGCAAGACCGTTCCGGGGTAGGGGATATTTATTAAGAGGCACGAGGGCTCATAAAATCATGCCCTAGCCAAGCAGAGTCATTGTTCCTCTGTAAAAGCTAATGGAATTATACATGAGCATGACTGTTCCCAGCAATGACGTTTAAGCCATTCTTTTAATCTTTTCAGAATTAAAAAAAAAAAGAGGGAGGGGGGGACTGTTTTTTTTTTTAAAAAAAGATAAAAAACATACAGAAATCAAGAGGAACTTCCTACTTCAATAAGTTATAACTTATGGACTTCTTCAACTGTATTTCTTCTCTGTGACCCTTGATCCCTTGAATGGCTATGAACATTATGGGGTAATTAGTTGGAAGGGCAAGGTCAGAAGGGAGATCAGAAGTAACAGAACTCATGGGACATCCTACGTTTTTGTGGCTTTTTTTAAAGAAAAGCAATCGGATGTAGCACAGGTAATAAGCAATGCAACTCGTTGTCCCCCACCGAAAAAAAAGAATGCAGCTGGATCCACTAGTTGTTCCCCCCCCCCAAAGAAAGAGTGCAGCCGGATCAACAGTTCCTAACAGCAAATAGGAACTATTCATACTCCATAACAGTGTACGTAACAGGAACAAAAATGGCTTTCAGAAACCAAGTTTCCCAGTACTGAGGAAGATGTGCTGGCAGAGGCCCTAAGAGAAGTCAAGTTTTAAAACACCACCACCTGACCCAAAACGTACATTACTTTTAACAGTTGTGTAAGACTGGAAATATAATAATTGGTTGGAACTTAGAAATCCCTCATAATCTGGGCTCTTGGCGGTAGTTTATCTAGCCTGTGCTCGGTAAACCGAGCACAGGGAGAGGTGGTGGTAGAAGGGAGTGAGCGTGGCTGGTCACCAAGGAGGGGTGTGGCGCATGGGGGACAGGAAGAAGGGGAGTTTTAGGTCAGTTGGGGGGCAGGGGGGAGGTTCAGAGAAAACGCAGCCACAGCATTCATTTTAATTTCAGCACTTTCTGGACTTATTTCTCTGTCATATAACTTTGTTGTTCGTGCATCACAATAAGTCCTCTGATCCCGTTGTTCATAGAATATAAAACCACCTCCTGTTTCTGAAAGACGGCTGTTTGCGAGAACCCACATGGGATCGGTTGAACACCCACCCCCAAAAGCCTCCAATACTTTAAATTTGGCAACAGAAGGGAATCAGCGTCCAGGATTTTCAGAGAACATGCAACGGCTACTGAATATTGTATTGGGGGGTCCATACATAGGTAGGGAGCAATTCACTTAATTTGACTACTTGGGGCATAAGAGCATCCCCAGGTCAAACCTGAAAAGGGGTAAGTCTTTGTGGTTGCCTGTTTGAGCACTTGCAGAGGGATGGAGAGCACTCACTGTGGGTCCATCGATCCAGCCTCTTGCTTCCACAGGACCAGAAACTTTCTAGAGAGGCAGTGAGTACGGTCACTTCTGCCACTTGTGGTCGGGGTCCTTTTGCTGCTCGAGACTCAGGGGGGAGGCATAAATTAGCAGTCCCATTACTAGAAGGGGATGCTATTTCGAAAGGAGCCTGAGAACAATTCTTCTTACCCTATCCCCAGCTTGGGAAAATAACTTGTTGGATTTATAACTCTCCACATCCTGAATGCCCACATCATTTTTGCTAAGGGATTCTGGGAGCCGTTGCCCAGGGCAGTAGCTTCTGTCCTGGGCTACTGCTGTGCCCCAGTGAGGGGCTGCCTCCTTCTCTTGCCCCTACAGCAGTGGTCCCCAACCTTGGGCCTCCAGATGCTCTTGGACCGCAACTCCCAGAAGCCTTCGCCACCACCTCTGCTGGCCAAGATTTCTGGGAGTTGAAGTCCAAAGACATCTGGAGGCCCAAGGTTGGAGACCACTGCCCTACAGGACTCTAGGTCATTGGGGAGGGACAGCTATAGTGATGGCAGCACAGAGCAGCAAGAGGAGCTGAGCCTTATTTGTCTCCCCATTGCTGGCCGTCATTAAAGCAGGAGGCCTTGATCTTCCAAGGGTCCCTCCCTCTGCTCAAAATGCTTGCACCAGATTCCTGAGTTTCAACTGTAAGAAGAAAACAGTCATTAGGATGAGCTGTATCTGTTCAGACATGTCAAAACAAAGGGCTAGGAAACCCACCCAACTCCTTGCCTGTTGCTTCGGATCTAGAATCCTATCTTGCATCAGTTCTTTTGCCATAGAATCATAGAAAAGTGGCATTGGAAGGGGCCTACAAGGCCATCAAGTCCAACCCCCTGCTCAAGGCAGGAATACAATCAAAGCAGATCTGCCAAGTGATTATCTTAAATTTTTCTTGAAGGCCTCCAGGGTTGGAGCCCTCACCAACTCCCGAGGTAACTGGTTCCACTGTTGTTCTGCTCTAAGAGTTAGGAAGTTTTTCCTGATATTCAACTGAAATCTGGCTTCCTTTAACTTGAGACCATTGTTGCGTGTCCTGCACTCTGGGATGATCGAGAACAGATCCTGCCCCTTCTCTGTATGACAACCTTTCAAATATTTGAAAAGTGCTGTCATATCACCCCTAAGTCTTCTTTTCTCAAGGTTAAACATGTCCAATTCTTTCAGCCTTTCCTCATAAGGCTTGGTTTCCAGCCCCCAGATTGTTGTTGTCGCCCTCCTCTGAACCTGTTCCAATTTGTTAGCATCCTTCTTGAAGAGTGGTGTCCAGAACTGGACACTGTGTTCAAGGTGAGGCCTAACGAGTGCTGAATAGAGGCAGAATAGCACCTCGTGGGATTTGGAAACTATACTTCTATTAATGCACCGTATAATAGCATTGGCTTTTTTTTTGTAGCTGCATCACACTGTTGGCTCATATTTAGCTTGTGATCTCTGACAATTCAAAAATCCTTCTCGCTCATAGTTTTGCTGAACCAGGTATCCCCCATCTTGTAACTGTGCAATTGGTTTCTTTTTCCAAGAAGCAGTACTTTGCACTTATCCCTATTGAATTTCATTCTGTTGCTTTCGGCCCAGTGCTCCATCCTATCAACGTCATTTTGATTTTTGTTTCTGTCTTCTAAGGTATTAGCTATTCTGCCCAATTTGGTATAAGCTGCAAATCTGACAGGCATTCCCTGCACTCCCTCATCCAGGTCATTAATAAAAATATTGAAGAACACCAGGCCCAGGACTGATCCTTGGGGTACCCACTAGTTTCCTCTTCCCAGTTTGTTCTTGACAAATCCGTCTTGGCTTCTAGTTATTACTGCATTGTTTTCTAGGGGGTTGCACAATGACTGTTTTACCATCTGTTCCAAATTTTTCCCTGGAATTCATGTCAGACTGACTGGCCCGTAGTTCCCAGGTTCCTCTTTTTTGCCCTTTTTGAAGATAGAGACAACATTGGCCCCCCTCCAATCCTCTGGCACTTTACCCCCAAAGCTTTCAAGAAAATAATGAATAGCGGTTCTGAGAGTTCTTCAGTCAGTTCCTTCAGTACTCTCGGATACAGTTCATCTGACCCTGGAGTCAGAGCGCTGGCCTTCAGAAAGGAAGAAGGGCAAGTTACAGGAAGCATGACATCCTGCTGCTAACATGCATGTGGTTTCTATTTTAATCCCTCGTTTTAGGAACTTTGTGACAGATTAATGTTGAAGCCTATCTCTGTCTGACTTGTTCTGAAGCCTACAGCTATGAGACGCTATCCAGAATATCTTCCTCTCTATTACCCATGCTTACTACAGGGCCAGCCTTATCATACGGCTGGGAGTGGCAGCTGCCTTAGGCCGCAGAGAGCGAGTGGGGGGTGGTGGTGAAGAACAGGTAGAGTGGTGTGAAAGGACCACTTCACACCTGCGCCTCCCCTGGCGTCCACTCAAGCTTGCTGGGGTGTATGGAGAATGCTATACCATCACCACTATTGAAGGAAAAGTGTCATTTCCCATTCAAATCAGCTTCTAAATCTGCAGCGAAATGGGATGTTGAGCCCTTTACACTTTGCCTCGGGCAGCAAAATTTTTGGGACTGCCTCTGGTTTTAGGAGAAAGAAAGGCTTCAAAGCAAAGGATGTTGCCAGGCAGTCTGAACCTGACACAAGTTGACTTCATCCAAGCACCGGAAATCTGAACAGTATCTTAACAGCCATAATAAACAATCCTTGATTACTTGGAGGTTGAGTCATGGCAACTGGACTTCTTCCTTATTAGGTTTAAACGTTTCACTGCTTATCCGAAACATTTCGACCTAAGAAGCAAGAAGTCCAGTTGCCGTGACTCAACTTCCAGATAACCTCACCTGGGTGACTGAGAATCTTCACAGATCAATCTCTGGCAATGAAATAAATGCTATTTTTAACCAGCTCCTTTTATGAGGACCTGCACCCACAATAGGTTTTTCTCTTCAACCTAATCTTTTACCTTTGTGTACGCCATGAGGAACGTGAGCTGTTGCAGGCTCTATTTGTTTATGGACTGCATTTATAGGTTGCCCTTCAGCCATAATGACTTGAGCAATTTTTTAAAGTGAAAACAGATTTAAAGCTCTTCAGCTGTAAATGAGAAAACTCGGGCGACCTTTACTATGAAAACCAGTCTTTGCTCCAAATGACTGTCTGCATCTAGCAATGAAGTCAGAAAGCAATTGTTGCCATTATGTGCCCTCAAGTAGAAATGGGCTTAGAGCAAACCTAACAGGGCTTTCAAGGTAAGGGAGATACAGTATCGAAGGCATGCTTTGACCAGCTCAACTCCCGCAGGGAATTTCCATGGCTGAGCAGGGATTCAAACCCTGTTCTCCAGAGTTCCAGTCCATCACTATACCACACTGGGTATTGAACAGAAAGCAGTGCCCAGGCCAGATCTGCACAGCCTACACCCTCAAGATTCAAGAGAGGGGTGTGTGTGTGTGTGTGTTTGTGTGTGTGTTTGTGTGTGTCCCTGGCATGCCTAGGAGTTTTATATCTATTTCTATCTATATATCTATATCTCTCTATCTATCTATATCTATATCTATATCTATATCTATCTATCTATCTATCTATCTATCTATCTATCTATCTATCTATCTATCTATCTATCTATCTATCTATCTATCTATCTATCTATATAGAGAGAGAGACTTTAAAAGTGTACCTTTTCAATTTAAAATTAATTCCTTTGGAAGCAGGCATTTCAGCCTGGCTGCTAGTCATGCTGCACTTCAATGCACTCTATTTGTTTCTGATTTCCCCCATCCCTCCACACACACCCCTGTACGGAAACCTGCAATATTAGGCCAAACCATAGGCTGCCTCTTACAACAAAGGAATGGCATCAGCCATGATACAACAAAGTGTGTATATGCATGTGTACACACAAACCACACGAACACACACATTAATTATCTACAATAGATAACATAGTTGTCACCAGAGCGCTATTTAAACTGATATAGACTCAGCCACAAGACTGTTTTAGGTATACAAGTGGTGCCTCGCATTGCGACATTAATTTGTTCTGCAAAAATCGTTGCAGAACGAAAACATCGCAATGCGAAATAAAAAAAAGCCCATAGAAACGCACTGAAACCCCTTCAATGCGTTCCTATGGGCTGGAACCTCCCCGTTCAGCGAAGATCCTCCATAGCGCGGCCATTTTCGCTGCCTGGTAAGCGAGGAATCCATGCTAGAAAACAGCGGGCGGCCATTTTGAAACTGCCGATCAACTGTTTTAAAATCGTCGCTTTGCGATGCTCGGTTCCCGAAGCAGGGAACTGATCATCGCAAAGCGAAATTCCCCCATAGGGAACATAGCAAACCGATCGCTTTTGCGATCGCAAAAAATGCGTCGCAAAGCGATTTCATCACTAAACGGAGCAATCGCTATGCGAGGCACCACTTGTATATTTATACTGATATTTTATTCATATTTGGATTGGCTTTTAAAATATAAAATTAATTAAACAACATAGAACATTTACAACTAGCAGAAAAGTAAAAATTACACTGTAAAAGTTGGAACACCATTCATGTGGATATAGTCTATAGCAAGATGGCTTTTTATTTTTTAAGAAGCATGGATGTACACATTTTGAAGGCACTACACATAGAAAATGAACATGTTAGACATGGGTCGATAACTGGAAGACCCCAGATTTTGCTGGACTGCAACTCCCATTATCCCTTAGCTTTGGCTATGCTGATTAAAACTGATAGATGTAATCCAACAACCTTCAGAGGGCCACGTGTCCCAGTTGTAAATGCATATTTGTATCTTCTCAAAATTTAGAGATCAGAAAAGTTCTTTTGGACTGGCACTCCCAGAATCACCAGCCACAGAACTAACTTTTCTGGGGTCTATCAAATGTTCTACTGATCCTTTCAGCTCTGGCAAGGCAAATATGCCCATTAACAATATATTTTTTAATCAGCTGTAACATTGCCAAGGCAGTACGTAGAACGATCTGTCAACCTCTGCCCAAGAGTGCCATTTCAGATTTTGGAAGGGGGGGCAGTTCGAAAGTAGGAAGGTCAAAACGCATCATGAGAGGTGCACTGTTGTCCACCTCTGTATTATTACAGACTCCTGGGTTTTTGCTGCAACACACACTCTCAGGCTGTTCTTTTCTTAATTGTTACACAACATAAATGGAAGGCGGCTCTCCTCCACTCAATTGCCACTTTCATTTCGGTAGCCGCACTTAACATTAAAGAGCAGATAATATGTAGACATCACACCACATTTCGTGTACTGTCTGGAAGCTGATTCTTTTAGAGTCATGGCCTGTATATATATTCTGCAGCCGAGCCCAGACACAGAGCAAACAGAATCAGAAGTACCGGTATTTATGTCTGCCTCTTTCCATGATGGAAGAATCTTACTTACAGGAACAGTGCTTAACTGCAAATCATCTTTGCCTGCTCAGGCTAGAATTAGAATTTGTAATCTTTTGTTAGCTGCCAATCTGCCAGTTATTCATTCTAAAAAGCAGGGAGAATGAATTCGTTTTGCAACAGAAGGAAGGCAATTGTGCAGCTGGCCAAGGCTGATAATTGCTTGGTCAGATTTTTATCAACAAATAAGAGATACTGTACTAGCAGAGTATTTAACTAGCCTTGGGAGGGCTTTTCTTTTTTTTAATCTTATGTTTGTAAGAGAGGGTACATATATTCACATAATGACATATGGCTACACCCTCAGTATGTCTAGACGGTGGGAATTTTTTTAAAAATTAGTGACTAAAACTGAGAGCGGAACTCCCAGTTTTGAGTGACTCAGCCAGACAGAAAGCAGCATGCTGATTCAGCAAAACAATCCCTCTGCTTCTTTAGCTCTGCTGCCTCTACCGAGATTAAAACACAGTCATAGTAACAATATGTGAGGGAGTGTATGTGTAGACAATCCATGTACTGGCCGGGCCCCGATGACCACGCAGCTTTTTTTCCCCACCCTGCTCCTGGCTCAGTGGCTTAAGGATCTGGCTGGGAGTTCAATTCCCCATCCGTGCCTCCTTGACAATGGCTGGACTTGATGATCCCAAAGGGTCCCTTCCAGCAGTTCAGTTTAAAGATGATGATGATACTCTGTGCCAGCACAGAGCATTGCAAAAGTTACTTATTGATGCAACTATACCCAGAATCCCTCAGTCAGTGGCTACACTGGAAGGCTAGGAAATTCAGTGTGTTGCAGTCCAAAGTACTAAACTGTGGGAGGGCCTGGCATGCTCTAGCCCATGGGGCCACAAAGAGTCGGACACGACTAAACAACAAGCAGTCCAAAGGCTGGACTAAAAAGAGGAAGATCTGAGTTTTCTCACCCATGGAACTCCCTTGACTCAGCTGCTACTTATCCATGGCTGAAATCCTATGGCTCAATGTAGTAAACTGCACTAGAGTAAGCCCACTGAGCCAGTGGGGATTTGGGGAGTCAACTCTCCTGTAGGTTCTGTTGATTCAAAGAAGCCTACTCTAGTTGCAACTTGCTGCATTAAGCAACAGGATGTTAGCCAGCATCGCAAATGTGACAAGGCTATTTTCTTGTTATGTGCCACCGAGTCAGAATACTGTAAAATGATAGTGACCTTTCAAGGTAGGTGGGATATTGAGGGTGGGGTTTTAAGAGCTCCACTCCCCCAGTGAGGTTGCCACGGAGCGGGGATTCGAACCCTGATCTCCAGTGTCCTAGTCCATCACTCGTATCCGATCGTATCTTTAAGATACAAATGGATGGTGGTGGTTGTTATTTGGGGCACTTTGGTGGGAGAGAGAGCCAGCAGAGGGCTCTGAACTCCTCGATTAAAAAGCAGGCCACAACTGTGGAAATACAGGACAAAAGAAACACCCTTTCCAGGGCAGCCTTCGCAGGCAGCCGGCGGGTGCCTCGAGCAGAAGTTTTGGGGAGACTCACGGGCTGCCCCGCGCTCTCCCTACCGGTCTGGGTGCTCAGATATTCGCCTCTCCCTTGTGGATGGCGAGAGGGCAAGCGGGAGACCGGATGCGTCCCATCGCCTTTTCAGCTGCGGGCAACTCTCCCTTCCTTGGGGCAAAGTGAACCCGGGGGTGTCTCCCCTAAACCCACCCCACCCCACCCCCCGAGCGTCAGGGGCAGAAAGGCCTGGCTTGGAAGAGGTGGCAGATGCCCCCCCGTCGCTCACAGGCGCGCCCCTTTTTCTCACGCTGAAATAAATACGTGTGTGTATACATGTGTGTGTGTATATCCCCGCCCCCTCCGCGGGCCAACCTTCTCGCCAGGCCTGCCCGCCTTCGGGCCGGAGCCCGTCCCTACCCGATGGCCCGCCCAGCCCGCCCCGCGGTTCTTCGGCCAAAGCGTCCGACAAAAGCCGAGACATCGGGCGAGGGGTAGGGGGGAGCTTTCCGTCCAAGCGGACCCAAGTTTCCCGCTCCAGCCCCGCCACCTTCTTCGGCCACGGGCGCCTTTTAAGATATAAAACCCAGGCACAGGGGCTCCGGCGAGTCGCCCGGCGGGGACCGAGCGCTCCGCCCCGGCAGGCGGAGGCCGATCGCCTTGTCCCCGGCTCTCCCTCCGCCTTCCCGCCGCCTGCCGCCGCCTCCTCCCGCGTTGCCCCAGCAGGGCTCGTTCCGACCGAAGGAAAAGAGGGAGCGCCC